AGGAAGGAAGGAAGGAAGGAAGGAAGGAAGGAAGGAAGGAAGGAAGGAAGGAAGGAAGGAAACCTACTGAATCAGAACAGTTGGTTGCTTAACTGATTATAAAATTGTGCCAGTCCAGAAAGAAAATGTAATCTCAGAAAGCACTACAAGTGATGAAATTAATGAATGATGGAAGCAAATGCAGTGCACAGAAGGATACATTTAATTGCTAATAATTATACCAATCGATCCATTTGTGCCATCTATGCCTGCTGCATTACAGAATCTGTCACAGGTGCTCTGTTTCTCCTTTAAGTTGATTCATTTGTAAAGTGTTTTCAAATACAACTGTTTATTTAACTCAGCAGGAAATAGTGACCAATTTCTTCCTGTCATGCCCATTTTCATCATTGACTCAACACACCCACACACACCAACTTTACACCATCCCATTTTTCCAAGGAGGCCAACTAAACACTGCTTAATCATTTAGGATTTTCTGAAACCCAGGGGCATAAATATTCTCTTCCATTCTGCCACCAAAAGTAACTTTGCGCCCCCCCTCACCGCTTTTCTCTTCGGTTCCTTTTTGTTGAAATATAAATAAACAAAGGGCCTCCAGTTTCCACACAGCGATTATTGTATATGCCAGTGTGACAGAATGACTTCCAAATATCCTCCTGTCCCCATGACCAATCATGATGTTTAAGAAGCTGGCTTCTGGCCTCGAAGCAGACAGATTAAGCTGGAATAATGGTTACTGTGGCAGCGACCGGGTGGCTTTGTGGATTGCTGCCTGACTGCCCTTCAGAAGGAGTTAGCTGGATTAGAGACATAACTGCAGGGCAAATGTCCTTCCCTTTCTCCCCTTCTTACCTTCAGACTATTATTTTTGTCTTCTAGGAGGATAACAGTCTTAACATGTAGGCCTTTGAGGAATTTCCCAGAGAAAAGCATTAGTCAAAACTCGTAATACACCTTGGCTTTAAGGCCAACAAGTCTGTTATTCCCACAAGCCTCCCCATCCCTGTGGTTTCCCAAAGACTCTCCAGTCAGCACAAATGCATAGAACCTATTCCTTGTTCCTTAGCAAGCTGTTTGCTCTCAACACTTCCCAAATCCATGGGTGGCTCATAGATTAAACAGGAGAAGGCTGACCACCCTTGCCAAAATTCAGGGAGGCGCATTGTCAATCCATGAGCCACCTATATCCACATTTCTGGTATGTGGGGGTCGAACATCCTCATGATTTCCCTCACTTTTGCATCTTGGCTTTTAGCGTGCTTTGTTTTGTGATTGGTGATTGGAAGGTAAGCACTAGCTTGATTTGTAGATCTGATTGCTGACGAAGCTATCTCTGAGAAAACCTGGGAGTACATTCATTCATTCATTCATTCATTCATTCATTCATTCATTCATTCATTCATTCATTCATTCATTCATTCATTCATTCATTCATTCATTGTGTTTATACCCCACCCATCTAGTTGACTGACTACTCTGGGCAGCTGCAAGACCTCGGGTTCTGATGCCTCTTCTCTCTAGTTCTCGTGTGCTTTTCCAGAATCCGTTACACTTTTTAAAATGCAGTCATTAAAAAAAAAGACTGTCTTTCCCATTGATTTTGGAAGTGAAACATCATTTTAACTCTCCACTTAGAGTTATAGGACAAAAGGGTACGTGAAGATGGATGTGAAGCTTGGAGGTCTGGGTCCTGACTATGAAGCGGTCAAAGAAAAAGTAAGTAGAATGTATGACATTTTAGAAAGTCTTCTTTGGCAGAAGAAATGAGGGTGATGGCCATAATTTCAAATCAAGGTATTAAACATTTGCAAAATCGAGAGTAGCTGGACAGAGAAACTCTCTGGTGATTACTAGAATGGAATACTCAAACACTGGGTCATCCAGTGAAGCTAATTGGAGGAAGTGCGGGACTGGCCAAAAACGGATAATCATAATTGGGTTAATTACTAGCTCAGATGGATCTTTTTAAAAAAGCCTTCCCAGTCTGGTGCCTCTCAGCTTATTGTCATTTTTTCAGGTTAAAAAGAACAACTTCAAACACAATACGTAAATTGTTATTGCCGTACTCTTTAGCTGCCAGTCTATGAATTGCAGGGAATTGAAAGAGGCCAAAGACTTTTCTATGCCCCACTGGTAGATCAAGATTTGCTACGTATGACTTAAGAGAGAAATTAACCATACACGTGTCAAGAGAACACAGTTGCTACACAAGTGTGGAAGGACTTAGTGCCCATGCATTGACTTTATAAACTCTGTTGGTGAGGAGTTTTACACCTATAATTCATGTGGACCTTGAACTGGGCCTAATTGCTCGCCGCACTTGTGTTTAGGAAAGAACATTTCCCCAAATTGTAGAATGGGTTAGCAACCAAAGTACTGAGCAAAACACCTGTCTTGCCATACTACATGTATTGCATTGCTTGAACCCTTTCCCTTCTTTTATTGAACTGCTTGATGAACCTAGTTTAATTCTCCTTGCATGTTTGTCGCTTCCTGCATCTCAACTCTCATTTCGAAGACTCTCGGAGTGGCTTACAAAACAAAAGTTATAAAACCATCAAACTAAGAACATATTTAAAAAAAAACACATTTAATCACCAATTAGAGCTAAACAGGATAAAACCTGGAGGATTAAAGGAAACTAAGAAGCACCATGAAAGATCTAGATAAATAAAAAGATCTTTACCTAACTCCACAGATGGGGCCGTCCTTCCACTGCCATCATGCCAACCTCAAACAGAGGCAGCCCACGGAACATCTCATAAAATGACCTAAGCATGCAAAGTATAGGAAAGTTACTTTTGTGGACAACAACACTGGCGAGCAGGCATGAATTCATGCTAGTTTAGTTGGAAGTCAAATTAGAGTAGTCTTCTACTCCTTCCACCCCCGTGGTTCTGTTGTTGATGGAAGAAATAAATAAATGTGTGCCCAGAAAACTATGGCATATCCTCAACAGACCATATTTTCAAGTCCTCGCTTTCTGCGCCCTCGGCAAAGGTATCCATTAGCCGATGCTCATCTGCGGAGAATTCCAATTGCAGATAAGTACACCCAAGTTTATTCTCTTTCGGCTGGCTCAAGTGTGCATTACTTTATCGCAATTGAGCTGCCCCTGTGAATTCAGATGGCCTGGCTTTATCACAGAAAGGGAGCAGGGAGGGGGAATGAAAGTAAACAAAGCCCAGCAAATGTAGCTGTAGAGTCACTGGATGCACATTATGCTCTGTTAAGGAACATCAGCTGCTGCTGAACCAAAGAAGAAGATGAGGCCAATCATCTAAGGAAAGAGTCTGGGAGGAAACCCTCCCCGCGCAGCCACCACCTGACCCTTTCTTGCGGGTGATTGTCTAAGATGCTCTGAGTAGAACATAATCCAGGCTGACCATCTACACATTGATAAGACAACATGAGATAATATGGCATCTATTGTGTAGCATTCGTGTCGGCTCTTGTGGTGCTAAAGTACTACAACTGTCAATGATCCAGAACATTGTAAAAAAAACAGCTTTCATTTCCTTGGACTTGTGTGCAAAAGGAGGCAGCTTTGGTTCATTCAAGTTGGAATAAACAGAAATAGTTGCTATGGATCAGTTTTCAGCAATTTTATTCTTCCTCCACCTTGCGTAAAGTATGTGTCATATATCCACAGCATGTGAGAGAACAGCAATATGGACTATTCTCAGACTCTCCCTAAATGACTCTATTCCATTGAACAAAGATTTTGAAAACAAAGTCTCTGTGGTCAACAGCAGTCACTCTGTCCACTATACCCAACCTTGGGTAACCCCTGTGTTCTTGGACTTCAACTCCCAGAAGCCTTCACCACCAGCTGTGCTGGCCAGGGTTTCTGGGAGTTGTAGTCCAAGAACACCAAGGTTATCCAAAGCTGGGAACCACCGCACAATACACTCTCTATATTTGGAGTCGCCTATCATTTTGACGGGAATCCTGCTCGCCAGCCCTTTGATCGCAACGGCTGCTGTTTCTCTTTTGACAGTCTGAAAAGGTGAAGCAGCAGAAGGAATACGCCAGGCACATTCAGGAAAACAACATGAAGAACATCGCAAACTCAAGAAAACCGCAGCCAAGACTAGAGAATAAATTGGGGGCATCAAGGCAGAAGGTAGGAGGGACAAAGTAATGGAAGGGAGAGGGGGGAAAATGGTCTGGATGGACTTGATCAGCCCATTTCTCAAGTTATCAGACACCACTGTTTTTGTCTCTGCGATCTGGACTTTCAGCATTTTAACAAAAAGTTTCTGAACTCTGCCCTTTTCTCTCTTTAGCACTTTCACAACAGCAGGGTCAGATCCCAGGTTATGGCAAAAATGTGTTTCTTCTTTTTATCCCATCACTGTATAGCACTGGTCTTATGGAATCTGAACACACACACACACACACATCTTGACTTGTCTGGAGACCCAGAAAGCCCTCTATAATATAACATCAGGTCCTCAGGTCCAGAGCCCCAGTTAAAATCCTCAAACTGGAAAGGGCTGCTGAAACTAAGCGTCCAGAGTGAGTGTCATTTCGGGGGGGGGGTGTTCAGAATAAGTCAGAACATTAAAATGTGAGAAAACCTGTGTGTATATATAAAGAGCCATTTGTAAGGAGGCAGTTTGTTCTAGGCCACACACTGCTGCTGTAGAGGTGTGTTAAATTGCCCTCACTTCTTAACAGAGTGGGGAAAAAAACAAATATTTGCTTGCATGCACATCCATTGAAGTTGTCAGCTAGTGATCGGTAGCCTCCATGCATTCAATGGCTCTCCTTCCCAAAGCAGCATCAGAAGATGATTTGTACGGGAGAAAGATTAAGCAGGCAAGAGGAGGACTGTTTCATGTTGAAAGTGTGTCCTCGAACGTTTGTCCCATTGGAGCCGATCTTGCCTTTGGAAAGTCACATCTAGAACGCTCGCCGGGGCTCTGATAGTATGGAGCGGAGAACAGAAGTGAGTAAAGGACAGGTTAAGCATCCTTCCGCTATTTTCTTGAAAATCACCCCCTTCCAGTGTGGCTTTACAAAGCAGCAGCTACGGACAGATTTTGAGGCACACGGCAGAAGTACAATGTGCAGTCCTGACCTTCCCTAGCAATCATCTGCTCTGCATTAGTTATGGATCAGATTTTACCGGGGCGGTGGGGGAGGGACGCAAGTGTTGTAACTGTGATTTGTTCCATTCCTTTGCTTGCCGCTGTGCTCCCTCGCTTCAGGCCCTAGAGTACGCCAAGACCATTCCCAAGCCCAAACTCTTCGTATCGCGGCCGTCGGAACCGGAGCCCAAAGATGAAAGAAATCTGGCACGCACTTTAAACGGAGAGAATCTCCCTCCCATTTCATCCCTGGAATCACTGCAGAACAGGCATGAGAAGGAGAAGCAGGTCGTAGCTGCGTTCAAAACCCTGCATATCGTATGAGGATCCCAGTGCTGCCAGAGACACCACCCTCTCTCCAGAAGCAAAGAAGAGGCCCCTGGACTTCGCTTGATAGTTGCCCAGAATGCCAAAGGACCTGGTGGTGGTGGTGGATGATGAGTCTGATGCATGTTCTCAATGTGAGATGTTTTCCGGGTTTGCTGAGCCTTACTTATTTTTATCAGACATTGTTGTTAATCATTAAAGAGGAGATATAATGGTTGAGAGCTGTCTCTTGTTTATAGTTTTCCTCTTTTTTTGTCATTATTTTCGCTTCCAAAATCATTTGCTACGCCCTCTACCACCCCATCGGACCCAGCTCACACATATACTGGACGATGTGCTTAATCTGTCTCTGGTCTCCATCATCTCTGCAAAAAAGGATGCACGGGAGTGACTGAACTCTGTTAGAAATTCCCATCTATCTGGACAGCCAGATGTTCTCGAGAAGGCTTGCACCCTCTCCTCCAGTGGTTTGACTACACCACATCCTGGCGTAGGCTGCCTAATTTAGGTGGCTCAGGGGATGCTTTTTTCCCCCCATTCTGCCTCTTGGCAGTGAAATACCTTCAGCTGGCCAGGTAGAAGATGCTGGCGGGACGGTACATCCCTTGGCAGGAGAAGACATTGCTTATTAAAGAAGGGCAAGGTCCTTCTCCATCCCAGCCGGGGACCTTTCCCATTTTCAGGATGACCTTCAAAGTGCAGGATCTGTGCCCAGGGCAGCGGGAGGGACCCTATCCTTTGAAAATCTATCCTGGGAATCTCAGAGGAGACCCACCTCCTAAAAGCAGCACTATTTGGGGGGCCCTTCTCTTACAGGTCTTGCAGGTTCCAGCATGTGAGCTGAGCTTTTCCCATAGAACCCACTTCCTTTGGCAAGACCTCTCTGCTCAGCTCCACCCATGGCCTGTTGCACAAGTGGAGTGACAGGTGTCCCCCACACTTAAGTGCCCCCACACTTCAGTTCATGCATGGTGCAGGGACCTCTCTGGCATCTCCCCCTTTCCAGATCTCTTCCATTTTAATGCCCTGTGTTCCGATCATCCCCTTATTCTTCCTTAGCTCACTTGGGTGCAGCTGGTGCAATTCTCAAACTGCAGCCCTGTCCATTAAGAACTGCTTCTCTACAGATCATGATCCCACGGAAATGGTAATACTTTGAAGCATGTCTGATGAGGCTTCAAAACTTGTTGTTCCACTGAGTAAAAGTGATAATCCCTCTAATACAAAGCTCGAGGGGCCTATTTTTCTAATGAAATCTTTTGAGGGATATTAAAGAACTATTTACTCTCACCTAATATTTTAATTAGATTATATTTTCAATTTAACCCGTCTCTCCTACATGCATGTGCAAACACGCCTGCACATGTCCTTTGATGGGCTGCATGCTCCATATTTAGCCCCAGATGCTAGAGGTAATGAATGCAGGACCTTTTCCATTTAATGAGCATTTCTGCCTTTCCAGTCTGACTCTCTTTGTATCTATTTTTATTAGTATTATTACTATTATTATTATTTTCCTGAGCCATAGAATTTAGTTAATTGAAGGAGCCTCTTACCACCACACATTAGGGCCTTTAAATTAGCATCCCCTTTCTGAGGAGAAAATGCAAGCGGACATTTTTGCTTTGATCTGAGGATTTAGTTGAAGTAGGCCATGGTCCCCTGAAAATGAGCTGATGGCCTAATTATTAGGATGAAATGCAAATGCATCCATGTGTGGGGAAATGCTTAATGTCTTAATTGATCACCTTCTGTACCATATAGGCCTTCTTTCTGTCTTCAATATCATCTGGAAATTAGGACAACTTTTACAATACATTTTTTTTTCATCCTCCACTTTTAAAAGGACTTTACATTATACCTAGTAATCCTTGCACAGAAAGAGAGAAAGTGAGACTAAGGGGGAGAGAGAGGTTACTTCAAAGCAACCCCAATATTCCTTTAATAATGAACTTTGACTGTAAAGGTATTACCAAGATCATCCACACTCTTTTATTTCCGATCACCATGTATGGGTGAGAAAGCTGGACAGTGAAGAAAGCTGGATGGGGGGAAAAATGGGTTCATTAGGAATGCGGTGCTGGAGGAGAGCTTGGCCAATGCCCAGGACTATCAAAGAGACAAACAAGGGGGACTTTGGTTTACAAGAGCCTCACAGAAATGTTGAAACTGAGGCTATCCTACTTTGGTTACATCCTGAGAAGGCAGGATTCTTGGGAAAAGACAATAATGCCGGAAAAGAGGAAGACGAGATACAGAATGGATTAACCCCTGAAAGGAAGCCAAGCCACAGGCTTGGGTTTACAAGAGCCTTGCAGGGTTGTTGAGGACAGGATGATTTGGAGATGACTCATTTGTAGGATCGTCATAAGTCAAAGGCACATTTATGGCATATAGCAAGAACAACATGGGTATTATTACTATTATTATTGTCATCCCAGTGAAGATATTAATTTCTGGGGGGGAAATGTATGATTTTACTTCTAGGGTAGAGTTCTGAAAGATGTTGGCCAGGATAAATCAAATGGCCAATCAAAACTGAGTGTTTGCCTACAAAAATGGTAGGGAAAGAATATTTTTGTTCTTGGTGCTGTTATTCCAATATAAATACTGTACGTGTCATCAAGTCGTTTTGACTTACGATGACCCTTTCCAGGGTTATCTGGGTATAAAATACTCTGAAGTGGTTTACAGTTCCTGGCTTCTGGGGGTTGCTCTGGACGGTGCCGCTTGCCCAAGGCTACCTAGTCTGCCTCTACTCCCGGGAGGCACCGTGCGGGGACCGAACTCCCAATCGCTGATTCCACAGACTATATATACATAACTCACTGAGCTATCCATAAAATGATCAGTCGTCTTTTGAATGACTGACTTCCACTATCCTTACAGTGAGAGGTGGAGGTAATTCAGACTTGCTTGTGATTCAAGAGAACGGGTCACGTTGCCCTCTTCAACCTTCCTACTTTCTGTGCTGATGGAACCCCTTGTTAGCTCGCGGTGCATAATCTACAGGGTGTCACTGCGTGTTTGTCCAAACTTGAAAACAGTAGTGTTCCAACTTTGTTCCAGGAAAAATAGAAGTCGCCTTGGCTTAGCATGAGCTGCTTCAAGAAATTATAATAAGGTTATATAAAAATCTGTGTTAAGATGGCCCTTCTCCATCAAGGTCAAGCCGAAAGGCAAGGGTGAGATGTGCTGTAACTTGCTCTCTGGCTAGGCATTCAAAGGAGAAGGATCTCCTTGAACGCATGCGGAAGTGCATACAATGTGTTCCATTCAAGCACCCAGTCTTCATTCCAGCGTTGGGCCCAGGAGGGTGTGCGGGGGACGGGGGGTGATAACAGTTCTGCAGGGTTTCCACTGAAACCTATCTGAGATGTCAACTGGCTAGAATAGGGGATGGCACGAAGAGTCCACCACTCATATAAGAAAGATCTTGCCATTCAGCATGGGTTTTTGGTGTAAAGCAGGCAGATTTTTAACACTGAAACCAGTATTCTTTTCGGGATACCCAGCGTGGTGTGTAGTGGATAGAATGATGGACTAGGACTCAAGAGAACAGGGTTCAAATCCCTGCTCAGCCCTGGAAACTCGCTGAGGAGGTGGCATAGAATGATGGACTAGGACTCAAGAGAACTGCTCAGCCCTGGAAACTAATTGAGGAGGTGGTATTGGAAGAAAGAAAAAAACACTCCTTAAAGATCCCACGTACCTTGAAAACCCTAGAGGATCACTATAAGTTGGTTCTGACTTGAGAACACAGAAGAAAATTTGTTTTTCTACAAGTAACATTCATTCCCAAGGTAGTCTTGTATGAATAATCATGTGTTCAAGTGTTAGAGAACAATTATTTTTTTATATACGGTATTTAAAAAGTGCAAGATGGAAGACTACTGCAGTCTGCAAATCTGTAGCTGCTACAAGGAGGAGTGGTCGTCCAGGGACGGCCACACAGCCGTCCTCGCTCTTGAAGGGGGCACCAATACCTTCAAGCAACACTCCTGAATTAATTATTTTGTTTACCTAATTTGGGGGTTTGGGGCTTTTTTGGGGGGGGAAGCTTACTGATGAGCCCCTTTATACCCCCTAGTGGTCATTTTTTTTTTAATTGCATTTTTGTGTAGCCTTGGGCAAAAGCCACAATTGTCCCCTCCCAGGTACGAGAGGCCTTCTTGAACCTCCTTTATACCCCCTAGTGGTCATTTTTTTTAAAAAAAAAAATTCATTTTTGTGTAGCCTTGGGCACAAGCCACAATTGTCCCCTCCCAGAACCTAAACAAAAAAACAAACACCAAATAAACAGTAACTGGGGAAAAATTGGAGACTTCATTTGGCCACTCGGCCCCATGAGCTGGATGTTGCCCACCCGGGTGACAGTGGTCCGCAATAGAGGAGTGAAGTGAACTATGCTTATGCCTTCTTGTACCCAGTGCCCAAACTTTGCCGAAGTTTGCCTAAACTTTCACCATTTCAAAGAGCTCTGGTAGGACCCGTTTCCCAAAAAACAACAGGTAGAAGATATAAAGAATTGAGCTAAGAGCAATACTGGGGAAAAGGGAGAGTTAGGGGGACCGATTCACTGAATCTTCTTTTGTTATCCATTTTATCGCTGGTCCCTTAACATCGTAATATTTTTTAACACTGGAGTTGGCCAACTTGCTTGATTCAACAGCAACTTCATTGGTTGTTTTGTGTTTTTTATGGGTGTAAACCATCCTCAGAGTATTCGGCCATGGTGTAGTAGTGCATAAAGTTGATCACTTGATAAATAAATGAACGAAACAATTGCAGAAGCCCCTAAACTGACAATCAAAGGACTTCTAGAATACTTTAGCCTAATTTAATCAAAGCATGTTGCTTTAATATTATATAAACCAGCCTACATACTCTTTCTGCTGAAGCTAAATCATGTCCACTGGGCGTAGAAGAAAGCCCCTTTGAGTCCAGCAATCAACTGTTGCCAGTTGAGTGAGTGTAAGATTCAAATTATGTTTGCAGTATTATATATATTGACCTAAGAATAAGTCCCATTGCCATGTATTTGGCTACTACAATCCATGGCAATTTAGTTAGTTGTGTGATTTAACCCATCCCATTGACTTCAATAGTTTTGGATTAAAGTCTGGCTCAAAGTCACAGAATGCAGGAAGGCTTACCTCTGAGGAGACCTATCTAGGATTGGGTTGCATGGTGAACAGAACTAATCACAAGATTAATAAACTGGTGATTAAACAAAATTAATCGCATGATTAATAAACCGGTTAGCTTTAGCTAACCAGTTTATTAATTGTGTGATTAATTTTGCTTAAATTTGCCTATGAGTGAAAACAATAGTTCTTTTGCAAAACAAAAACAAACCTTTTTTATTTTTAATCTTAAAATTATTAGCCGCTGTGATGAGCACCATTTTAGAAGACACTTTTCCTTCGGGGTGGTATACATGAAGAAGGCAAAGCTCTTTTTAAAAAATGTTTTGTCCCACCTTAATTTTTTAGAAGTACTTTTATTTTTAACTATTTTTACTAGATCTGCTGCCTCATACATGGAGGCTCTTTTAAAGCCAGTTAGGCATTTTTAATCAGCGGTACTGGCCAATTAATGGGTTCCACATTCATCATTTTGCAGGACTCCCTTTGACTCAAGACCATCTCGCTGCCAAATAACTGAGATGTTTTCACCACCAAGGTCAAGATTACTTCACTCTGTGGGTGCCTGATTATAGTAAAGGTTTGAATCCGGGCACTCATTTTTTCTCTTTGGGGGGCAGCAAGGACAGTTGCCTGAAATATTAAAAGATGATGGGGGGAGAATTATATTTCACCTCTGGTTACAAAATAAACAAGATGATAAACCAAGAAACATTATTCTATTACAAACCAAATTAAGGATAAATCTGCTTTGAATACTCCAGGCAAACACTATGGACAGAAGGAAATCCCAGTTTTGGAGGGAGTGGATCTTACCAGCAATGAAGTATATCTATTAGCTGCAATCTCTTAGGGTTTAGGATCAGCCTTCCAACTTTGCTGTCCTTTTATTCAGTGTACTTTGGGGCTGTAAAGGAAAGAAAGAGAAGTTTTGGGGACTGGCAGACAGGAGGAAGGAAAGAAGGGTGACTCCGGAAACTGGATTGCCTTTGGAAACGGAGACTTGCCCTTCCTTCAAGTCAACCTCCCCCCTCGTCCAAGGCTGCCCTTATTCATGGGCATATGCCTCTCCCTGCCTAATAGCAAGGCTGGCACAGACATTGCTAGAAGAAAGGTGCTGACCTCTTCTGAAGAAGGTGGAGCAGCCAAATAGCTCTGCGAGGTGTCTTCCAACCTACTCTTGAGGAGGAGGGCCCCAAGCCATGTTGCTCCGTTGTCAAAAGATTAGAGTTGCAATCGTCTCTTCTTTTATGAGGGGGGTGAGTCTAGTGGACCTGGAGGGGGTGGTTATCCCTCAGAGTGACCATTGGTGCTCTGTCCTCCCAAGAAAAGACCGCCCGGGGGAATCATTCCTCATAGACTCTGCTTATTTTCCCCCTTGTGCTATTTTTATTTTTATAGTCTCACTAATATTCTCCCTCCAAAAAAAAACCCCATGCAAAACAGGAGACAGATAAATCCTTCCCCTCCCCGCCCCCGTACTCCCTTAGCATCAAAATTAGGCAACACGGAGGTTGGCCGAAGGAGCTCTGCGCATAGTTGCTTTGAACTGTCTGGGGGTCCCAGCAAAACCTCTGGATAGCCAAGTCCACCCCCCACAAGGAAGGAAGGAAGGAAGGAAGGAAGGAAGGAAGGAAGGAAGGAAGGAAGGAAGGAAGGAAGGAAGGGAGGGAGGAAGGGAGGCAGGGAGGAAGGAAAGAAAGAAAGAAAGAAAGAGGGAGAAAAAAATGCAATTCCAATTTAAGTGATCTAAGTCTGCAAATTGTATCAGAAATTCCGGAATATGGGATCACTCGTGACCGCAAATATATAAATAATTGCTATATTCTATCTTTTTTGTTTGTTTGTTTTTAATGCCCCGTCTTGGTTCTGGAAACACAACCCAGACTTCGGGCTGCGTTCTGCGGGATGCTTAGAAAACGATACCTAAACAAAATGGAACTCGTAAGATACAGTTTAATAAGATTTTGTTCAAAAGCCCTGCTTGGAGTCGCCTCCCATCACAGGCTTCTTCCGCGTTCCTTCTAATAGGCGATTTGCGACGTTATTTTCCAAGGTCTTGACAACTGCTGAGACTTGGAGGATTCTATCCGGAACTCAAGACCCACCGATAAAACGGCCGAGACCCGGGCCCCTTAAAAACGGAGGTGATTTTCGATAGCATAGGCTTTTCTGGACGATTGCAAAATTATTTCTCACCCCCACCCGCAAGACACACACACATATATACATCACTCAATCTCAGCCACAAGTATATGATCAGAAATTAGTCAATTGCAGGGAAAGCCTGTGAAAACGAGCAGCAGGCTTGGCTTCTCTTCCTGCCTGGCGGATGGAGGGTTCAAAACAATATATATATATAGTTGGACCCTTCACGGTGAGCCCGAGACATTCTGCGCTGAATATCGCTCTAAATGGATTTTTAAAACTATATGTGGCAGAGAGCGTCTTATGGGACTAACAGAAGGTACAGCGACGCTTTTTTTTCTCAAAACAGTCATGACACCTTGAAGGTGACGATATGTGCATGCATACTTGGAATTATGCAGAGATAGAATATTATAGGCGTGCTTTCCTAAGAAAGGACGGGTGTAGGACTGCGCAAATTTTCGCGCATTTATTAACGAGTGAGCTCTACATCCTTTGCTGGGAGGGTTTACTTTTGGGAAACAGGGGCGGGCTCCCGATGTCCAAGCGAGCTAAGAGTCTGCGGGAGTATACTCAGAAGTAAACCCCGCAGTGCTCACTGGACCTTATTCCTGGTTAAGCGTGGACCAAGAGGCGGATTTATAGAGGAATCTTTCTTTTGCTTATTCCGAAGTAAGGTCCGCTGAGTTCCACGGAATTTACTCCTACGTAAGCGCTCACAGTTGGCAGACATTACTGTAGTTTGGAGCGCCATGACATTTTTTCCTTTCGCTGGGCCAGACTTCTATCTTTAAGGGAAAAGTTTAATTTCCACACTTGAAACAGCTGGAGATGTTCCGCCAGTTCATAACTTTTTGCCTTCATTTACTTTTAACCAAATATTAGTTACTGATTTTTCAAATCACCAACTCTTGCGAGGGCTTTTTCTGTAGGGTTTTATTTTATTTTATTTTCCGTCGCAAAGCAAGACAAATTTTCCTCCTTTTTAGCTTATTTTTTGTGGCAGTTCTTTTCCAACCAGAACCTGCGCAGATGCGCTGCGCCTTCTGACTTTTTTCCGCCTTACATTTTGAATATTATACATCCCCGGAGAATTTAAATTAAAACTCAATGCCCATCAGTTATCTTTGTATAACCACCAAAGAAACCGCTTCTAAAAACCAGTTTTTCAAAAAATAGTGTTGAATACATTTCGGGCGCGATCCATTTCCCCCCGAAAAACGCGTGTTTCTAAGGATGAGGTCGGAACATAAGCTAAACTCTCCCTTTGAAACCCGTGCGGTTCCAAAGCGCTCTCGAATTGACCTCGATGGGCGCTCTGTGCGCGCTTACTTGGAAGCAGACGTAATTCAACTCTATGAGACTTACTTCGGAGTAAACACGCACAGGCTTGAGACGCCTGGCCAGACCATGAGATGGTGTAAAAATCAAGGCAGATTGAAGCGATGGAGTGCTTTCCACGTGTCATTATTTAGGCCACAATCCGAGAGCCCGGGAAGAAGCCTTACTGAACTCAATGGGACTTACTTCGGAGTCACCGTATGCGGAACTGAACGACGGGCGGCAGCCACGGGCTCGTGACATCCCTCGCGTGACAATACTGGGAGAGCATTTTAAAAATCCACAGATTTAAATTGGCACTTTTATTTTCAGAAGATATGACCCCCCACCTCGCCCTACCGCCCCCCCAACCTGCAGGTACCCATTGGGACAGGGGAGAAAGACGGGTGGAACCAGCTCCTTAAGGATCTCACACACACACACACACACACACACACACACACATTCACGCCTCAGCATTTTCCTTCAGGGCAAAAGTCTTGGTTGTGGGAATGGTCCAGTTCCCGACACTTAAGAGGGTCCGCTCCCCTTTTTTCCACCCCTCAGCTTTGGAAGCGAGGCCGGTCCCTTCACCCCATTCACACGAGCTCCGTCCTAACCCGGGGGGCTCCGGGGCCATGGCGGCGGGTGGGCTCTGTCCAAGCTTAAAAGGGAGGAGACGGGGTGGGGTGGGGTGGGGTGTCCTCTGCCTCCAGCGTGACCAGGGGGCGATCCTGCTCTGCTCTGGCCGGGCTCTCAGGGGTCCGAGGCTGGCGAGGTGGGTGGCACAGGGGCCGGGGAGTCGTTCTGCCCGCCGCGCGCCCCCCCCCTC